CCCTACACAAATTGATTTGCATTTTGTCACTACAGATTAGTTTGCAACTTCTGGAATTATATAAATGGAATCACATATGTGAGAATAAACAAATCATCTTTTCTGTCAAAGAACAGTTTAGACAGCCTCATTTTGGGCTGCGTGACTTGGCAGCCGCCATGTTGGCCGCATGGCTTGCAGCTTCCTGGGGGCCGCCATCTTGAAACAGCAACGGCCAACCCCTCCCTTTGAATTAGCCAATCGGGAAAGGCCGTGCACCTGAGCTCTAATCAAGAGCAAGGGACAGGTCACATGTTTCAGGGATTATAGAGCCGAGCAGGTGTGCACACGCTTCCAGACCATGTGTGTGCACCCTGCTCCGTAGAAGTAAAAATGTTTGCCTGCTGCCTGGCTCCCAAGTCTGGTCTGTGTTCTACCAGGACCCCTGACTTGGGGGGCTCGCCTTATTTCTAACACACAGTATATTTTTTTTGTCTCTTTCACTCAGCATCATTCTTTTAAGATTCATCCATATTGTTCCATGTACCAATGATTTATTCTTTTTATTGCTAAGTAGTATCCTCTTTATGGATATAACACCATTTGTTTATCCATTCAACCACTGATGGACATTTGGGTTGTTTCTAGTTTTTGGCTATTACAAATAAAATCAATATGAATATTCATGTAAAAGTCCATTCATATGACTGGACATATGCTTTTGTTTGCTTGTTTTAAAATATATTTTTATTGATTTCAGAGGGAGGAAGGGAAAGGAAGAGAGAAAGAGAAATGATGAGAGAGAATCATTGATCAGCTGCCTCCTGCATACCTCCCAAGGCACAGGCCTGAAACTGAGGCATGTGCCCTGGCTGGGAATCAAACCATGACCTCTTGGATCATAGGTCAATTTCAACCACTGAACCACACCAGCTGGGCTACTTTCATTTCTTTAGGTTAAATCCTGGGAATGAGATAGCTGAACATATATGTATAGTAGGTACACGCTTAACATTTATGAAACTGATAAGCTGTTTTCCAACATAATTGTACCATTTTACATTCCTACCTAGCAGTATCTGAGAGTTCCAACTGCTCCACATCCTCAATAACATACAGTCATCAGTGTCTTTAGAACGTAGGTGTTTTGTGATGTAATTGAAACCACAATCTCATTGCAGTCAAACTCAGATCTAGTCATGGCTTTGGGCCTATGCACAATCTAGTCCAGCAAGCAGTCAGTGACACTGGGGGCTGGGTAACTAAATTCTAGCAGAGTCTCTGTGATGAGCTTGCTGCCCTTCATGTCCGTTACAGCTTCAGGTAACAGGTGCACAACAGACCAAGAAGAGGATGGAACTTGCTGTTCCAGCCATCAAGCTAAATAGCCAAAGACTTGTAATAAAAATTAAAAATGTTATTAAATGGCATTTACACCAAAACACAAAAGAGGATGCAACAACTTTTAGATTTCAGCTAAAATTTTAAAAATAACAACTAGCAAGTAAGTTCTTACCTCTATGCATAATCTTGTGTTTCTCCCTCAGATATGTCAGGCCTTTTATTACCTAGAGGAAAGAGAATGTGAAAAGATAGCAAATGGAAATGGTGGTGTTTAGAAAATACTCAATGTCTCTATTTTAAAATGACCTAGAAAATATTTTATCTAACATCACAAATTTTTTTATTCTTTCTTTTGTTTTTTTCAACCTGCCTTATCAAGAAACCATCTTTTCACATGGCATATAGAGTATTATTTTTAAGTAAAATTGGTTATTGCAAGTTTAAACAACATTAAAAACCACTTTACTTGGCCCAGCCAGTGTGGTTCAGTGGTTAAGCATCCACCTATGAACCAGAAGGTCACAGTTCGATTCTGGTCAGGGCACACACCCAGGTTGTGGGCTCAATCCCCAGTGGGGGACATGCAGGAGGCAGTCAATCAATGATTCTCTCTGGAGAGAGAGATGTTTCTGTCTCCCTCTCCCTTCCTCTCTAAAATCAATAAAAAATATATTTATTTTTAAAAACCACTTTACTTGAATTCATTTCTTTCTAAATCAGCAATGAAAAAGAGGCTTTCTGATGCCACAAATGAGAATTCTTTTGAATACCTTACTGTATTTTTCAAGATACAGATTTTAACATAGGGTCACTTTTCTAATTTTAATTTGAGAGAAAGAATTGTATAGGGAATATTCTAATGAGTAAACCCCATTTTCTTACAAACTTTACCCTGCTCACTTCCTAGCTTCCTCACTTGTCTATTTCCTACCATGTCATTAACTTATCAATGAGGGGACTTGGAAGAAAAACTTCACAATATACTCACAGCAATGCTAACTTTTCCTAAAATTTGTTCAGGAATTCTTCCAGCTTTCTTCAGGACTTGATCCAAGGAACCCCCATCCTAAGAATAAGAATACCAGCCCATTTAGTGATAATGTTTCTAACTATTCATTCAAGTGTTAAGCTTCATGAGGAAAGTGAGTCACATACATGGCAAATCCAGATATCAAATATTATATGAATGCAAAACATTGGGGGGGGGGTTACTCAAATCCTGTGAATAATCATTAAATTACTAATTCAGTAGTCAAAATAACAACTTGATTTGCACTGTACTGACACTATAGTGTAATGATTAGTAGTGCAGCCTCTAGAGACAAACTGTCTAAATCTGAATCCCAACTCTGCTGCTTACTATCTAGAGGGCTTTGACCACCAAGTTAAACAACTTATAAATTGGTGGTGATAATAATTATAAAGCTATTATAATAATCATAGGGCTATTATAAGTATTAAAGAAGCTAATCAGAGAAAGCATGAAGAACAATGTCTAGCACACAGTAAGTGCTCAATCAATGTTAGCCATTTTATCACCATCATAAAAGTCACAACTTACATTTGGTATTATCCTAACACATCATAATTAATGAAAATGTTTAAAATGTCATAGAAATCAATACATTTGTTCCACAAATCCTACCAAGTGCCATGGGCTATGTCAGGTTTATGGTAGATAGGGATATGAAAAGGACCTAGTTTCTGCTCTCAATAACTTTACAAACTAACATGGAAAATATACATCTCTTAATAAAATATAAAAAATATAAAAGTGTTGTAGACGTGCAGAAGAAGGGAAAAGTAATTCTGACTTAAGAATGGCATTTGAGCTATAATCTTATTCAAAGAATGAATATGATTTCCCCACCTGGAACAGGAGAGGAGCAAGGGGAGAAAAGAAGAGGGTATTTCACTAAGATCAAAAGCACAGAAGCATTAAATTGCATGGAATGACAAGTGGTTCATTTCACTGTGGATACATGAAGAAATGCAGTGATGGATCAGGCTGGAAATGGCCGGCTGTGGCCACGTCACAGCACCCCACTAAGGAACCAAGACTTGACTTTATGTAGGCAGAAGGATAGGAATCCCATCAGGGTATTTTAAGTTGGAAATAACTGCATCCCTTTCCCCCCTCCTTTTTACTCTCTCTAAAACAATGGAAAAAATATCCTCACTCCTTGGGTGAGGATAAAAAAGAAAGAAATAGTACAGGTGTGGATTCTCAAAAGTACACTAACAACCCTGAATATATTTCACTTCTAATCATAATAAACTCCCTAGCACAACTACCTAATCGTGGATCGGGTCAGTCCACCAAAGAGCATGGTAGAAGACTGTAAAATTCAACCTAAAAAATCAGAAGTGCTATAATCTCCACACAGATACAAGGATGGAATTAGGAGTCTAGAACAGCCGTGGGCAAACTACGGCCCGCAGGCCGGATCCGGCCCGTTTGAAATGAATATAACTAAAAAAAAAAAGACCGTACCCTTTTATGTAATGATGTTTACTTTGAATTTATATGAGTTCACACAAACACTCCATCCATGCTTTGTTCCGGCCCTCCGGTCCAGTTTAAGAACCCATTGTGGCCCTCGAGTCAAAAAGTTTGCCCACCCCTGCTCTAGAACCAAACAGAACTCCCCTGTGTACAGGCTTATTTTCCAAGAGCCCTACTCAGGGTGAGGTGCAAGTCATCCTGTGAGCCTGGCTGCCTTCATAATGCCACAGGCTCCTGGTGTCCAAACCAAGACAACACAAATAGCCCACGTAACCACTCCCAAGTCAGCTGGCACCTCTTGATTTCCTTTACTGATGGGAAGAGGAATCCCAGTAAAGAAAGTTTCCCAGTCATTTCTATTTTGCTTCCAACTGAATGCGGTTTCAGAACCTCTGTTTGAAGGGCTCTGCCTAGTTCTCAGGGAGGACTTAAAACAAGGTAACAAGACAACTCTGTCAAAATCTGGTTTGAATGGAGTAGAAAAGCTAACCCTGTGGTGCTCAGGTTCTACCGCCTAGCCGAGAGGGTAGCTAACTGTCTTGGTTTACACTTTCCCTGGGAGTTGTGGTAAATATTTCTAATAAAAAGGAAATATTTCCTTTCACCTCCATCTGACCTATAATCAGAGTTAAGTGTGAACAATGGAATTAGCAAGATTTAAGAAGCATGAGCCACAGTCGGGATTACCCAGAGTTGCCTGCAACTCACCTCACAACCTTTTAATTCTGCTTCACTGTTGCCAAGGACTTGCCTTCACTAACTAAAGCTGCTGAAACTGTGCTTATTTTTAGAAGCTGATTATTAACCAAGTCAATGGTGCTTTTGTGAAGCTTTTCTATAGAAGAGATAAATGATTTATGGAGAGGGAAAAAAAAGAGCTCAAAAGCTTTGCTACTGCATGAGAACCATCAACCCTGAGTCCCCAGACCTCTGGTTGCCCAGCTACCAGCAGAGCAGAAATCTACTTCCCCAAAGACAAGAGCACTCCTGTTTTGATCAGGGAGCACTCATTTACCCCTGGGGTATCAGAATTCAGATGGGGCAGTGCACATTCAGCTTATCTCTAGGAAATGCAGACCCTGGCCAAGGGTTTTAGAAATGAAGGATTCCAGAATGAGGAAGCCTCAAAGCAAGTCAATTTATGGTAAATTGAACAGACTGACCTCTACATCGCAAGAAGCCATGTAAAGCTATTACAAGAATTTCCAGCAAGGTCTGAATAAATGAATAGGCCAATGCCTATCAATATTTGAACCTAATCCTAACCTCTAAAGCAAGCACCCTGAAGTTCAACCATGCTCACTCCACAAATAGCCTCCTGTTTGCCCTATTAAAGGAAGAATTCTGGGTGGAAGATTTGGAAGAAAGAATTTCTGATGGATCAGAAGACAGCAGGCATGAAATGACACATACCTGGTGCTCAAAAGCCCTCATGTCCACACTGATACTCCTCACTTGAGCAAATGAGGAGTATCAGTGTGGGGCAGCTCTAGGAGCAGAGATGCTACTCCCAATGTCTCTACCTCTCAGCTCATGTGGCACCTTGCACATAACTGGCACTATAAATAATTGTTTGTGAGGCTGAGCCCACGTTGATTAATTAATGTAAATCCTTGACAGGCTGTAAGTGCCAAAAACCACAGAAACACAAAATGTTAGTTTGGGGCAATAATGGCCATTTTACAGATGAAAAAACTAAGAATCAAAAAGATAAAGAAATTTGCCCAAGGTCATGATGAGAGAGCGGACAACCAGTAAACAAATAATTATTGAGCACCTGCTGGTGCCAGGACTACTCTGGGCTTTAGAGACACCGTGGCAAACAAAACAAACTGTCTGTTTGGATTGTTGTGGTGAAGTCTCCTGTGCCATGCTGCCTAATGGGGACAGAAGAAAATAGCAACCATGAAGCCAGCCTCTCTCTCTTTGAAGTTCTAGGCAGCAAGAAGGAAACAGCTCCAATCACTATCCAGTAGATTCCTCAAGGCACAGGCACTGAGGTCAGACTGCATCAATTTAAATTCTACCAATAACACTTACTAGCTGCATGACCTTGGGTAAATTATTCCATTTCTCTGAGCTTGTTTCCTCATTTGTAACATGCACACAATAAGATTGTTGTGAAAATGTAATAAAATATCAATTTGCTTAGGATAGTGCTTGATATAGTATACCCAATAAAAATTAGTTTATCATTATTAGTGTTGCTAACACTTATTGTTAGTCAGTGGGAAGAGAAAAAAGGTCCAGGCTGTTAGTGTTAAGAAAAAACTGGCAGTTCACAAATATATGATTAGCCCATAAACGCCCTCTCACATGCTCTGTCGTGTATCAGGTGGGATTACCTCTCTACATGTCCAAAGACCCCTTCAGGCTCCCCTTAAAGCAAATTATAAACTCTCTGAGAGCAGGGACTGTCTCACTCATTTTCATAACCCCAGAACCTCTCAGACTAAGTGTTAGACCAAAGCTACCCAACTCCCAGGCTTCAGAGGCCAACAGGTGGTCACATACCATATGCTCCATGCAGATGCTGATCTCTCCATCGCTGTAGAATGCACCATAGAAGCCCACAATGTATGGGGAGTTACACTCATGTAGAACCTGCAGCTCCCTTATTATCTGGTTCCGGATCGCAGGTTTGATCTCCAGGTGAAATAGCTAGGGAAAG